GACACTGGAGAATTCAAACCCCAACAAGTGTTTAATTGTGACGAAACAGGCCTCTTTTGGAAAAAAATGCCAAACAGGACCTACATCATGCTGGAGGAAATGGCACTCCCAGGACACAAGCCCATGAAGGATAGGTTTACTCTCGTGTTTTGTAGTAATGCTAGTGGGGATTGCAAAGCGAAGCCTTTACTGGTGTATCACTCTGAAAATCCCAGTGTTCAAGAAAAACAGTGTCGCCAAGAGTAATTTGTGTGTGATGTGGAAGGCTAACAATAAGGCACGGGTCACAAGGGCAATTTTCCTAGACTGGTTTAATGAAGTGTTTGGCCCCAGTGTGAAGAAATACCTCCTGGAAAATAAATTGCCACTCAAGTGCCTCCTGGTAATGGACAATGCTCCTGCTCATCCTCCAGACTTGGAAGAGCAAATAGTGGAGGAGTTTAGTTTCATCACGGTGAAGTTCTTGCCCCCTAATACAACTCCTCTCATCCAGCCCATGGACCAGCAGGTCATTTCAAACTTCAGAAAACTGTACACCAAAGCAGTGTTTCAAAAGTGCTTTGAAGTGACCTCAGACACTGAATTGATACTAAGAGAGTTCTGGAAAGATCACTTCAATATCCTCACTTGCATAACCTTATAGGTAAGGCTTGGGAAGGAGTGACTTGCAGAACTTTGAATTCTGCTTGGAGAAAGTTGTGGCCAGAATGTGTACAAGAGAGGGATTTTGAAGGGCTTGGGGCTGACCCTAAGGAGCCTATGCCAGTTGTGAAATCTATTGTGGCAGTGGGGAAGTCCCTGGGGTTGGAGGTGAGTAGTGAGGATGTGGAAGAGTTGGTGGAGGACCGCTGAAGATGTCCCCCAGGGATGTGTTCTGAGCACAACACTTTTTCTCCTTGCTATAAATGATTTGACCTCTAGTCTTCCATCAAATATTTGGTCATCACTATGTTGATGACTTTGCTATTGCCTGTGCAGGCGCTGACTGTCACCTCATTACAGTTTCTCTCCAGCATGCGGTTGACCGTGTTTCCAATTGGGCCACCACACATGGGTTTAAATTTTCCAGCACCAAAACTCACCAAATTACTTTCACTAGACGCTGTGTCATCTCCGATCATCCTTTGTACCTCTGTGGGTCCCGTATCCCTGAACGTGATAAAGTCAGGTTTCTGGACCTCCTCTTTGACTGTAGGTTATCCTGGAAACCTCACATTACCTCTCTGAAGGCAACTTGTCACAGCCGGCTGAACCTTCTTAAAACCCTTGCTCATCTTTCATGGGGAGCTAATCATCGAACTCTCCTTCACCTACATTCCACCCTCATTTTATCGAAACTTGATTATGGTGACCAGATCTATTCAGCGGCCTCTCCTGTTACTCTCTCTAGCCTCAACCCCATTCATCACCAAGGATTACGTTTATGCCTTGGTGCTTTTCGCTCTTCCCCTGTTGAGAGCCTCTATGCAGAAGCGAACGTTCCATCCTTATCCAATCGCCGTGATGCCCATTGCCTTCGCTACTATGTATGCTCTCATGATCTCCGCAATCCTTCCATTTATAGAATGGTCACTGATATTAGTAGACATTCTTTATTTGTTCGCCGCCCCTGTTTACTCCGTCCCTTCTCTCTTTGCCTACATTCGCTCTTGTCTTCTCTTCAATTACCACCTTTCTATGTTCATGTAGCATCTCACTTTTCCCTACCCCCTTGGGAAGTTCCAGCTGTTCGAGTCTGTTCTTTCTCTCTCCCTTGCTCGAAAGCCCAACTGTCTACGGTCGCTTCCCGCTCTCTTTTTCTTGACCACTTCCACTCTCATTCTCATGCCATTGCAGTGTACACAGATGGCTCTAAGTCTTCTGACGGTGTAGGATTTGCAGCAGTGTTTCCGGACAGCGTCGTACGAGGGCCTTTACTATCTTCGGCTAGTATTTTTACCACTGAATTGTATGCCATTCTTGCAGCACTTATCCGTATTGCATCTATGCCTGTGTCATCATTTGTGGTTGTCTCAGACTCCCTTAGTGCTTTACAGGCTATACAGAAATTTGATACACCTCACCCCTTAGTCCTCCGTATCCAACTTTGGCTACGCCGCATCTTTAGCAAGCATAAAGATATTGTTTTTTGTTGGGTCCCTGGTCATGTTGACGCACAGGGCAATGAACAGGCAGACACTGCTGCGCGGTCAGCAGTACATGACCTACCAGTTTCATATAGAGGTATTCCATTTACGGACTATTTTGCTGCAATAGCTACCCACCTTCACACCCGTTGGCAACAATGTTGGTCTACTATGCTCGGTAACAAACTTCAATCTATTAAACCGAGTATAGGTTACTGGCCGTCTTCTTATCACCAGTGTCGAGGATGGGAGACTACTCTCTCCCGTCTTCGCATTGGCCATACACGTCTTACTCATGGATATCTCATGGAGATGCGCCCTGCTCCTCTCTGTGAGAATTGTCAGGCTCCATTATCAGTCAGCCACATTTTGTTGGACTGCCCACTTTATCAACGAGCACGCAGAATTTACCTCCGTCGTCATCTTTGCTCCGCTGCTCTCTCTTTACCTTCCCTTCTCGCTGATGGACCCACCTTTCATCCGGACTCTCTCATTGACTTTTTGACAACAACTGGCTTACTTCACAAACTCTGATGCCTTCAGCCCTTTCTACCTCAATCCCTTGCTACCCTCTACCCCCGCACTATCCCCTGCCCCGCTGTTTTCTGTAACCTACTGATCATCCCTTCCCCCTTCTGCCGCCCAATACCCTCGCTTCCTTCCCTACCCTGCAGCGCTGTATAGCCCTTGTGGCTTAGCGCTTCTTTTTGATTATAATAATAATAATGGTGGAGGACTACAGGGAAGAGCTAACCACTGAAGAGCTGCAAGAACTTCATCTGCAACAGCAAGAGATCACAGCTCAGGAAATTGCTGCAGAGGAGGAGGAAGAGAGATGGAGGAAGGTGCCTTCTTCAAAGATTAAGGACATTTGTGCAAAGTGGACTGAAGTGCAAACATTTATGGATGAACTTCACCCTAACAAAGCTGTTGCAGGCCGTATTGGCAACATGTACAATGACAGTGTTGTGTCCCACTTCAGACAAATCTTAAAGAAATGCCAGAAACAGAGCTCTCTGGACAGTTATTTTGTGCGACAGGGGTCCGGTGACTCTCAAGTTGTTTCCAGTGTCTTTAAAAAACAAAGAAGGGAAGTAACCCCAGATAAGGACTTGGTATTTGAAGTCCTAATGGAAGGAGATTCTCCTTCCAAACAGTAGTGTACACCTTCCTCCTATCCCCTCTTCCTGTCTTCCATCCACCCAGAAGTCTTCAGTAAAGGTAAGTGTAATGTTATTATTATTTATATATGTATGTATTTGATTTCTCATTGTTTTCAGTATGTAAATCTTTATTTAATTTGAAAAAAATATTTTATTTTAATATTTTTGGGTGTCTGGAACAGATTAATTTTATTTCCATTATTTCTTATGAGGAAAATGGTTTTGCCATTCGGCAATTTCGACATTTGACAGACTCTCTGGAACGGATTAATCACGAAACTCGGGGGTCCACTGTACTTACGTATACCTGTACCTAATAAACTTACTGTCCTGGCATGCAGGTACACATTAAAATCAGTAAGAGTGTCTTATGTCTCGAGAAGTCATATTAGTAATGATAATAATAATACTCGATAATAATCACCGAGTCTCATTAAATGTCATATATTATGTTAATGTATACATTTTCATTAATCCATCTATGATATTTTTTAAAAATTATATAATAAACACAATACATAAAATAACCATAAATATGCGATGTGGTAGCCAGACGACTTGTACAAGTAATGCCATATTACCAATAGTAATCACCGAGTCTCATTAACCATTAAACTGTCCAAACACAGATCTACGTCCATGTGCGGGGGGCTCCAAACATAGATCTACATTTTTTTACATGCTTTCAAAAAGGGAAAATCAAGGTTAGAGCGCTACGCACGTGAACGTAGATCTACGTTTGGGCAGTTTAAGCGTTAAATGTCATATATTACGTTAATACGTATGCACATTTTCATTAATCCATCTATGATATTTTTCAAAATTATATAATAAATATGATGCATAACATAAAGATTATAAATATACCCCACAGTAGAATAAATAAACATAAATATGAGATGTGGTAGCCAGACAACTTGTACCAGTGACGGCAAGAATAACATTTTCTCTAGTCCAACATAAGAGAAAGTGTTACTGGGCGTAACTGTAGAAAATTATTCCTTTCGTATGCCTTCACTCAGAACATCATTTCTTCTTAAAATGGTGTTACATGAGAATGGGAGTGATCCTCTTTATTTATTCTACTGTATCAACGTAGAGACAACTTGTACACAAACCAGATGTGTTTACCTAGTTTGTTTACAAAACTTGCATTTGCCTGGTTTGTTTACATAACTCTGCGAATGTCCTCTCTCATGTACTCATTCTTTCTCTCTCTCATTTATTCGTTTTATCTCGTTTACTCACGTCTGACCCTATATTAAGACTACAAATATTTTAAGGTAAGTAATGAGTGAACTGTATATACATTTTATTGCTCTGGGATGCTTAAATGTCGTAGAATATTATGTGTGGGTGGGGTGGCCTGGTATGGTAGCCTGGCTCACTACCATACATACCACACTTGATTTTTTACAACAAATACTACTCATCTCACCCTAGATTAAGACTACTAATATTTTAAGGTAAGTAGGGAGTGTACTATATGTATATTTTACTTTTTTATTGTTTTTAATGCCTAGTTCTATTGCTAACTTAATATATGTTAGTGTAAACTTGTTATCTAATATTTATATGCATTTATAAGTGGAAAAAAGGGCATTCCACTTCACAGCGATTTCCGCTTTACAGCGGTAGCCTGGAACCTAACCTGCCGTATAAGTGGGGCCCTACTGTATTAGACTTTAAAATTATTTCCTTTAATCATCAGGGACCTCACATCACAACACTCACACCTGAGATACTCCAGAGTGGTGTGGGCCAAGACATTGTGGCAGCAGAGACTATGGTTGTTGGTTCAATGTCAAGCATTGTTGTTTCTGCATCATCCATACCTGAGAGTATCACAGCTGAGCTTCATCAAGCCAATCAAGTCTCTCAAGTCTCTCACCACCACCACCATCATCAGAATCATCAAGAACCACATCAACAAGAGCAAACACCAGATCATGACCAGCATTTTCGTCAAGGAAATTCCTTAATGCAACAGTCTTTAACTTCATCCATTATTCCAGTGCAACAGATGATTGTGATTCAAGATTCTGTCACCGTACCAGGTCATACCGAGTTTTCTGTTCCACCTTCAAGTCAAGTCATTTCTGTCCCTCAGTCAACAAGTCAAGTAATATCTGTTCCACCAGTTTCAGGTCAAGTTATATCTGTTCCTCACTCAAATAGTCAGGTCGTCTCAGTTCCCACAGTCAGTAATCAAGTAATTTCTGGCACTATTCACACCCCTGAAGCCACTTTTACTGTGCCTATGGCTCAGCATTCCAATCAAGTAAACAGCCAACAGAAGCTTTCTACAATACATTATCAGTATTTTCCTTCCTAAAGCATTTTATTTGTATCAGAGATATCTGTTAGAGAAAAATCTTTTGTACTATGTATTGCAAACAGGTGCATGCAGAATGGCCTGTTGTACCTGGCCATATATCAAGTCTTCAGACAAGAAACAATCCTCAAGCAAATAAAGGCAAACACAAAGGGTAGTGTTGAGTATCCATATATTCCCTCCACCAATATATACAGAGTGAAATTGAGCAACACGATGTTAATGAGTGAGAAAGCAAAGCGAGTTTACTCTCTGCAATTGGTTTTTCATCTAATACAAGATAGATATCCATCTATCTGTGTGTGTGTGTGTGTACGTATGTACTCAACTAGTTGTGGTTGCAGGGGTTGAGTCACAGCTCCTGGCCCTGCCTCTTCACTGGCCACTACTGGGTCACTCTTCCTGCTCCATGAGCTTTATCATACCTCTTCTTAAAGCTATGTATGGATCCTGCCTCCACTACATCACTTCCCAGACTATTCCACTTCCTGACAACTTTGACTGAAGAAATAGTTCCTAACATCCCTGTGATTCATCTGAGTCTTCAACTGTCAACTGTTGTTGACAGTTGGAACATTCTGTCTCTGCCCACCTTGTCGATTCCTCTCTATTTTATATGTCATTATCATATCCCCCCCATCTCCTGTCTTCCAGTGTCGTCAGGTCGATTTCCCTTAATCTCTCCTTGTAGGACATACCCCTTAGCTCTGGGACTGGTCTTGTTGCAAACTTTTGTACTTTCTCTAGTTTCCTTATGTGCTTGGCTAGGTGTGGGTTCCAAACTGGTGCTGCATACTCCAGTATGGGCCTAACATACACAGTGTACAGGGTCCTGAACGATTCCTTATTAAGATGTTGGAATGCTGTTCTCAGGTTTGCCAGATGCCCATATGCTGCAGCAGTTATCTGATTGATGTGCACCTCAGGAGATGTGCTCGGTATTATATTCACCCCAAGATCTTTTTTCTTGAGTGAGGTTTGCAGTCTTTGGCCACCTAAACTATACTCTGTGGTCTTCTTTGCCCTTCCTTGATCTTCATGACTTTGCATTTGGTGGGGTTAAATTCAAGGAGCCAGTTGCTGGACCAAGCTTGTAGCCTCTCCAGGTCTCTTCGTAGTCCTGCCTGATCCTCAACCGATTTAATTCTTCTCAATAACTTCACATCATCTCCAAACAGGGACACTTTTGAGTTTATCCCTTCTGTTATGTCATTCACATATACATACCAAAAACAGTACAGGTCCTAGGACTGACTCCTGTGGAACCCTGCTCATCACAGGCTCCCACTCTGACACCTCGTCACGTACCATAACTCGTTGTGGCCTCCCTGTCAGATATTCTCTGATCCACTGCAGTGCCTTTCCTGTTATGCATGCCTGATTCTCTAGCTTTTGCATTAACCTCTTGTGAGGAACTGTGTTGAAGGCCTTCTTACAGTCCAAGAAAATGCAGTCTATCTACCCATCTATCTTGTGTCTTACTTCGATTACCTTGTCACAAAACTCCAATAGGTTTGTGACACAGGATTTTCCTTCCCTGAAACCATGCTGGTTGTTGTTTAGAAGCCTGTGTCTTTCTAGGTGCTCCACCACTCTCCTCCTGATGATCTTCTCCATGACTCTGCATACTATACACATCAATGACACAGGTCTGTAGTTTAACCCTTTGACTGTCGCAACCCCAAATCCTGAAGTGTCTCCTGGTGTCGCAAAATACAGTGGTACCTCGGGATACGAACAGTTTAAAATGCGAACAGCTTAAAACGTGAACAATTATGTAAGTGCTTTTGTAAGTGTATTTTTGGGAGTCTGAAATGGATTACTCTAATTTGCATTATTCCTTATGGGAACAAATTTGTTTGGTATCAGCACTCGAACAACCTTCTGGAACGAAATGAGTTTGTATCCCGAGGTACCACCGTATTTGAAAAAAAAAAAAACAATTCCTATGAAATGATAGAGAATCTTTTCCCAATGATAATGAAACCAAAAGTATGAAATTTGATGGAAAACTTACGGAATTACGCTCTTACGAAATTAGCGGCCTTAGCAACATTTATGCATCGGCGATTTTTCCCACTTTGAGCCCTATTTTTGGCCAATTCCATTGTTCCAGTTCACCAAATTCATAGCTATTTCTTTAGAACTCCATTTGTTCTATCAACTGAGTACAAGAAACCACCCATTTACCGATTTCAACTATCCAAAAAAGTGGCCAGAAATTGGCAATTTGATCAATTTCATGCAAATTAAAAAATACGTATGTCATTTTCAAAATAAGGTCCAGAATGAACAATGCAGACATTCCTGGCACTAATACTTATAATACTAATACTAATACTTATAATACTTTTGCTTTCTAGTTTGAATTTTTATTCACACAAAAAATAGAAGATTTACTGTTATGCAGACTACTGCAATATTGTAATAATTATATAAATAGTGTCAACCCATTCGTGACTACATATTAGAATGGCTAGTTGGACATTTATCGGACAACGATGTCATTTGTTTACTCTTGAACATCGGCAAAACTCGAACATTTCTGCCACTTTGAGCTCCATTTCAAGATCCTTTTCATAGTAAAACCAATCAAAATCACTTCTATTTCTATAAAATGTTTTCCATTCTATCAAATGAGACCAAGAAAACAAGAATACAACCATAAATACTATACAAAAATACACTTCAAAGTTGGCGTTTTAATCCAAAAACACGGTCGTTTTTTTTTTTCTCATTATGCACTGCATGCTTCAAGATTTTTTTTATACTGTGCACACTGACCACACAGACCCATTCTCTCACATGTGGGCCTACCAGCTTTCTCCTGCTTGATTTGAAGCCGCTAGAATTTTTGAGTATATATACATCAAACACATTGGCTCGTAAGACATATATATACAACCAAAACAGTCAAAGGGTTAATGCCTTGTATCTGTCTCCTTTCTTAAAAATTGGGACCATATATGCCATCTTCCATACCTGAGGTAGTTGCCCAGTCTCAATGGATGTGTTGAAGATTTTTGTTAGTGGCACACACAGCATCTCTGGTCCCTCTCTAAGGACCCACGGAGAGATGTTGTCTGGTCCCACTGCCTTTGAGGTATCAAGTTCACATAGCAGCTTTTTCACCTCCTCCTCGGTTGTGTGTATTTCATCCAGCACTTGTTGGTGTACCACCCTGTTCTGAATTCCTGGAGTCCTTCCTGTCTTCACTATAAATACTTCTTTAAATCTTATGTTGAGCTCCTCACATACCTCTTGGTAGTTTCTTGTGAACTCCCCACCTTCCTTCCTCACCCTGATTACCTGGTCCATTACTGTTGTTTTCCTCCTGAGGTGGCTATACAACAGCTTCGGGTTGGACTTGACTTTTGATGTTATGTCATTTTCGTATTGTCGCTGACCCTCCCTTGTTATCCATGCATATTCGTTTCTGGCTCTTCGGCTAATCTCTATTTTTCTGGGTCCTTTGTCTTCTGTACTTTTTCCATTGTCTAGTACACTTAGTTTTTGCCTCCCTACACCTCTGGGTGAGCCAAGGACTCATTCTGGTCTTCCCATTATTTCTGTTTTCCTTGGGAACAAACCTCTTCTCTCCTCCTTGCATTTTGTCACATAGTCCATCATTTCTTTTACTGGTTTTCCTGCCAATTCTCTCCCACTGAACATCTTGCAGGAAGTTCCTCATGCCTGTGTAGTCCCCCCTTTTGTAGTTTGGTTTTTCCCATTCTATTTCTGCTACCCTCTCCACTTGTAGCTCAACTATGTAATCAAAGCACAGAACCACATGATCACTAGCTCCAAGGGGTCTTTTGTACGTGATATCCTCAGTGTCCGAACTACTCAAGGTGAATACAGTAGGGCGCCACTTATATGGTAGGTTAGGTTCCAGGCTACCACTGTAAAGCAGAAGTTGTTGTAAAGTGGAACACCCTTTTTTTTTCACTTATAAATGCATATAAATACTTGATAACCGGGAGCAAGGGGCTAGTAACCCCTTCTCCTGTATAGTATATTACTAAATGTAAAGGGAGAAACTTTCGTTTTTCCTTTTGGGCCACCCTGCCTTGGTGGGATATGGCCAGTGTGTTGAAAGAAAGAAGAAATACTTGATAACAAGTTTACACTATCATAGAACTCAAGTAGGTTTGTGATGCAGGATTTCCTGTCCCTGAAACCATGCTGGCTGTTGTTGATAAGCTCATTCCTTTCTAGGGGCTCCACCACTCTTTTCCTGATAATTTTCTCCATAACCTTGCATACTATACACATCAGCGACACTGGTCTGTAGATTAATGCTTCGTGTCTGTGTGAGAGAATGTGTGTGTGGGTGGGAATATATGTGTGTGGAACTACAGGAGTATGGGTTTATTATGTGAAAAGTAGTGGGGGTAGGAGTGTGTATTAGGGTGTGTGAGTGTGGAGCAGTTTGTGTTGATTACACATGGTCTGCAGTGCTCCTCTGACCCACAACTCCCAACTAGCTTATGCTTTCTATGCTTATCCTTCTTCCTAGTCTAAAATACACCTGTCTGCCCACCTGGTTCTGTTTTAAATTACTATGTACTATTATTTATTTAGAAATTATTAGCCTATTCTTTTTCATACAAGGAGGGTGGACCATTCCCGTATCAGCTGGCGGTACCTGGAAACCAAATATCTGACTCCCCAAAACCACACATAGGTGAAATCTGCAGGCTGCAATGCAGCCTGCAGATTGTCCACTCGTTGTGATGTTCTGGCATATCTCCACCTTCTTTCTTCTCTATATACAGTAGACCGTCATTTAGCACGAGTTTATTTGGTACGATTCGGGTATAGCATAACTGAAGAACTACAGCACAATTTTATGTAACATGTGAAATTAATTTAACATGGTTCAGTTTGCAGGAAGGAAAAAAAAAAATCCCTTGTCGAGCCAGGTAAGAACCAGAAATAATGGATTTAAGTTGGATAAATTTAGATTTAGAAAGGACATAGGTAAGTACTGGTTTTCTAACAGAGTTGTGGATGTGTGGAACAATCTTCCCAGTGGGGTGATAGAGGCTAGAACCTTGGGTAGCTTTAAGAAGAGATTGGACAAATATATGAGTGGGAGGGGCTGGGTTTGATTAGTGTCATTGGGTACGGGAGTTAATTCTTGGGTA